ACATTTCACTCATTTTTTTATAATAATAACTGAAGCTTTGCTAAAAGTTTGGCCAGTGTTTTCTTAAACACCAAAGATTTTGATGCAGGAAGTATCCAAATTTTGTAATCAAGGAACTTGAATCTCGGCAATCTTATGGTACTTGCATGTGTTCATAAAGATACTAAGTGAAAAATTAGAATTTGAAACCAAATTTGACTCACTACAAAACTCCTCTCCTTTTTATTTGACTACTTTGCCTTGTGCTCCTTTACTTATGTTCCTGTGGTATCTTTCATACCTATTGAGGTATAATTAACAAAATTGTAAGATATTCAAGGTGTACATTGTGATGATGTGATATACGTATGCATGGTGGGAGGATTTCTCCCATCTGGTTCATTAACACCCCCATCACCTCACGTATTTATTTTTTGATTTGATTTGATTTGATTTGATTTGATTTTATCTTTAATGAGAACCTTTAAGTTCTTCTTTCTTAGGGTGCAAACTTTTGGCTATAAGATGGATAAAGTCTAACGATCTAACATAGTAACTATGGTTGATAATACCCCATTATATAATTGAAATTTGCTTAGAGTTTTTACTGTAACATGATGTTGAATTTTGTCAAATGCTTTTTGTGCAGTTAAGATGATTGTATGGTATTCCTCCCCCCATCATTCTGTTAATGTGATATAAGGAACTGTCCTTGATTTTCATATATCAAACTGTCCTTGCATTTTAGGAATAAACCCTAGGTGACCATGGTATATAATCCTTTTAATATGCTGTTAAATTGGTTTAGTATTTTTTGGAGGATTTTTCCATCAATATTCAGAAGGTTTATTAGTCCATAGGTTTGTTTTCATGTACTATCTTTGGCTTTAGTAATAGGGCAATTCTGCCCTTACCGAATGAGTCCAGAAGTTTTCCTTCCACTTCAGTTTTTAAAAGAGTTTGAGAAGGATTGGGGTTAATGATTTTCTTTTTTTTTTTTAAATATTTGGTAGAATTCATCTGTGAAGACATATAGACTTGGCCTCTTATTTGTTGGAAGGTTTTGGTTATCTTACGTTTTGTTGTATTTTTAAAAAATTTTTAATAGTAGTTAGAAAGCTCATAACATAAAATCATCTACCTTGACCACTTTTAAGTATACAGTTCAGTAGCCCTAACTTGACAGTTGTACAGCAGATATCTAAAACTTTCCATAACCTCTTGTTTTTTTGTTTTTTTCTTTTTTTCTTTTTATTATTATGTTATGTTTTCCATAACCTCTTGAACAACAACTTCCATTTCTTCCTCCTCCAGCTCCTGGAAACCACAGCTCTTTCTATTTCTCTGAGTTGGATTTGTTTAGATACTTCTTGTAAGCAGAATCATGTACTATTTATTTTTTTATAACTGGCCTCAGTTCACTTAGCATAATATTCTCAAGTTTCGTCCATAACACAGCACGTTGCAGGATTTATTTTTTTAAGGCTGAACGATATGCTGCTATGTATATATACCGCATTTTCTTTATCCGTTTACCCACTGAGGGACTCTTGGGCTCTTTTCGCCAACACTGCACTGAACAAAGGTTTAGAGATGTCCCTTCAGGATCCTGCTTTCAGTTTTCTTGTCTCTGTATCTGGAAGTGGAACTGCTTGATCATATGGTACATCCATTTTTAATGTTTTGAGGAACCTCCATATTTTTCCTATAGCAGTTGCACCATCCTGCATTCCCACCAACCGTGCATAAGGGCTCCAATTTCTTCACATCGTCACCAACACTTCTTTTCTTTTTTTTTTTTTTGATAGTGTCCATTCTAATGTGTGTGAAGTGATACCATACTCTAGTTTTGATTTGTGCTTCCCTAATAATTAATGACGTTGAGAACCTTCTCATATGTTTGGTCCTTTGTGCTCTCTTCTGATTCCTCTGTATACTTGGCTGCCTTTTTTTTTTTGCTTGTTTTTTAATATCTTCATTTTCCTGAGAGTCCGCGCACTGATTCTTCTGTGGTCCTTTGGTGTTCTGTCGTATTCCTCAGTCACCAGTCTCTGGCCCCAGGTATCTGGGGGTCTGTCATCACCTTGTGGTTCTCAGAAATATGCCCAGGACTTCCCCTAGCCTGAGATTTGAACGAGTTCTGAAAGGAGCAACACTGAGACCTACCCCTCAGGTGGCCATCGGACAGGTGGCCGATCCCATCTGCTCTGCTCTCTGGTGTGTGGGATGGAACCCAGCACTGGGCTGCTACCCCCCCCCCCGCCCCCGAAACCGTGGGTCTGCCCTGGAGAGGAGCCGGGACAAGGTCGAGCAAAAAATGCCACAAATTTTGTACCATTTGGAACATGACTTCTCGATTTTGTGTTCATTTGGTTGCTGTTGATCTTCAACTAATTTTCAGACCTCCTACAAGTTTATTTTAGCCAGTCTCTAGTTGTTTATTTAATATTTCCATGGGGGCCTGGAGCTGTCCTTTTGCTGAAGTCACTGTCAGTATATTAGAGTTTGCTATTGATTTGCATTTCCCAAATTCTTAATTTCTTTGAGCGGTTTTGGTGTGTGTTTGTGTGTGTGTGTGTGTCTCAATAAAAACGACATTAGTCAGACATTTTTTTCTCATTTATTTCTATTTTTAAATTGGTTTTCTGTCCTCATTGATTTATAGGAATTATTTGTATATTCTGGATGGTATTCTATTGGTTATTGCTGCAACTGTGACCCAGTTTTGTTGCTTGACTATTCCTACTTTTATCATTTTTAATTAAGTTCTTAATTTTAATACCACATGTATCACATGTTTTATATTATGCTTAGTTATTTCCCTTTTTAAGGAAGTATTCCCTATCCTAAATTCATGAAGATATTTTCCTCTGCCTGCTTTTCATTTCTTTGTATGTCAGTACTGATCAGTCATCAGTGCTTCCTGCTCCTCTTACCAAGATTTAATCAGGTTGCTCTCAAAACTGCAGCTGGGAACCATTCTGCTCAGTGAGACTAAAAACTAGAAGATAATTTTGCTAATCCTCTACTTTAAATTTAAATAACATTTGAAAATTTTTCCTCAATTCCACATAAAAGAGAACATGACATTTTAGGATATGTCGTAGGAGAGAGTGCTATAGATAAGGACTCTGAGGTATTGTACATACTGTGTTATAAAGATTTATTAATTCTAAGGACATTTATTAGAAGATCATATTTATTTAAACTTGGGTTTAGATGCCAGTGTCAGCTCTGCTGGTGATCCTCGGTATAAAGTATGTGTGTAAGGACTGCCTGCAGATTTATGTTTCTCTTCTCCCTGTGTATTGACTTAACCCTGATACCTTTTCTCAGCATTTCCATATTTGTGCTTTAAGAAATATTAATATGTGTTTTGAAAGAAAGAGTACCATGATCACACACCTTTGAAAAATGTCACATCATGACAATCTTACCCTATACATCACCACTTTAAATACTGTTGTTACTGCAGCAAAAAATCTACTTAACTTTGTTTAACCAGTATTTTTTATCTGCAACATTATTCCCCAAAATATCTATTAAAACCAGAATGAAAGGGCGCCTGGGTAGCTCAGATGGTTAAGCGTCTGCCTTCGGCTCACGTCATGATCCCAGGGTCCTGGGATCGAGTCCCACATCGGGCTCCCTGCTCCTTGGGAGCCTGCTTCTCCCTCTACTTCTCTCTCTCTCTCTCTCTGCCTCTCTCTCCCTCTGTCTCTCATGAATAAATAAATAAAATCTTTAAAAAAAAAAAGAAATCCTTTAAAAAAGAAAACAGAATGAAAAATACCTTCTCTGAGTAACAGTTAAAATATTTCCCAGTTTGAAAGAATATTTTTGAAAGGGTGATATGAAATTGAATAATGTACCATGACCCAGATCCAAACAGTGGCACATATTATTGATCATGGTGCCAGAAAAAGAATCTTCTCTGATGGCCCATAACAACCATGCCTTAGATGTGCAACGAACTTCTCTGTGAAGCCTTGGCTGACTACATTTGCAGTAGGAAAAGGAGGACCAGGGTAACCAGAGACCCCAGCCCAGTTAGAGAGCTTGGCGTCACGTGGCCTTCATGCGTGGCAGGAGGCGGTCCCACAGACAACAGAGCATTTATTGAAGGCTTGCGGTATTCTGGATGCGTTTTCATCTAAATCATCTGATTTCAGTCCTCGCATAATAGTACAGACTTGGTTGTTACTGCACCTGTTTTACAAATGAGGAAGCTAGAACTAAGAGTTGATCACTTACCCTGAATCCCAAAGTCAGTCAATGACTGAGGATGTATTTGCCCTTGGAATCTTTCTGCCCTTCTTTACTTTCTGTCAGGCAGAGATCACTGTGGTAACATACTCATTATATACAGTTATCCATACGTTAGGGATGATCAAACTGAGTTAAGTTAGTAATTTTTCCGAAGTTAAACATTCAGCAAGTGACAGAAATAGGACGTGAGGTCAGGAGATTATTAGAAATAAAGTGGAAGATCTTCCCATATCTAGGGCTATGTGTGCATCAAAGGTGTGGTTCTTAGCGTGGGCCCTCTTTCGCGCTGTGGTTTCTGCTGCAGCCCACCAGGATCCAGCTGACTTTCTCAACCCAACGTTACGTGATCAGTAAAACCGTGTGGGGTCACAGTCTTGGTCTAAGCCAGTGTCAGAGTGAAAAGTTACAACTTGTCACTTATATGAGGTATTTAGGAACAGACAGTAGAAGGGTTGCTGCTAGGCATTAGGGGAGGGGGAAATGGAGAGGTGTTTAATGAATATAGACTTGCAGTTTTTCCCAGATGAGAAAGTTCTGGAAGTTAGTTGTACAACAACGTGAATATACTTTACAGTGTTGAAGTGTACACTTAAGAATGGTTAAGATGGTACATTTTATATATATTTTGCCACGATTAACAACAAATTATAAAAAGGAAAAAGAGTCTTTTTTGAAGATGTATCCTACATGTAAAATTAACTGATGTGGCAGTTGAGGAAACTGTTGCCTATTAACTTATTCTTTCTTCACAGTGATCTGCAGCCCTGGGTCTTATAACCCCCGTGATGGAACCCATTGCCTTCAATGCAATAGCAGCCTGGCGTTTGGAGCAAAAGCATGCGTATAGGCCATGAGTTTGAGATCTCTAGTGGTTTGTTAAACACAAAAGTATATTTTTGAAATATTAATACATAATAAATCACTATTATGCCAAAATTAAATATATTAGATTTTACAAAATACGGTGTCATCATTTTAATTGAAACATTACATGTCCAAATGCTTTACGAATGGACCATCCACTGATCTTTATACATTAATGCCAGAACTACATATGACTTCAGAATATTTCTTGGATCGCTGTTTTTTAAAAAGGGTTTTAAATATACTCTATTGGTGTTAGCCCAAAGGATTTTTCAGGATTATATTAAAACAGCCCATTCTCTTTACAGTAGGTTGACTAGTCTCAGGCCACCATATTCTTCCATAGTCATTTTAATTCCAGCTTGTTTCCTTCCTTTAATTTTATGAGATTTTATTTCTTCTGGTGTGACCTTTCATAGCTGAAGGTCACTTTTTAAAAAGCCTTTGCATCTTCTGGTTGCAACTTTTAGCCACTTCAGTGTAAGGCCAGGTCCCAACAACTCGATGGGTTTTTAATGTAGTTCAGGGTGGCAGTCTTCACCTTTTTGGTTTAGAGGCCTTTAAATTACCTTTCTGACATTTTAGAATAGAATAACCATTGTATGTGCCTAAATTAACCTTTGAACTTTCACAGTGTGGAGAGAGAGAAATTAGGCAATTTCTTGCCCCGAAGACACCTCTAGGGAAATGTATCAAACGATCATCATATCTTTTATTGCATTTCCTTTATCATTAAAGTGTTACATCACGGATACTTCTGCCACCACCACCATACCCTCTCTCATAGTGGGGTGCTGTATTTGAATATGAAAAATTACCGATAATGTAAGGGTTTAAATACCAGAAAAATACATGAGCCACTTACAGAAGAGTAGTTTCTCAATTTTTTTATTGTTTCATTTGTACTGGTAACACTTTATCTGATCTTGGACATTCCCTGTTTTTTTCCCTTCATATTTCCTTTCTTAAGACATAAACATTTTAAATGGCAAATATACACAGGTGGTATCTAGGCACAACTGTGCATTGACAGGGAAAAAGTTTACTTGTATCTAGGATCTATTTGACTTTTTAAAATTGACCAGTTAATAAGTTAATCTCCCGTTTGGTCATGCTGTGGACAAACATTACCCTGTACAAAGGGAAGTGAAATGACATTTCTTTGTTAGCCTTGGTGATCTTTTTAAAAACATTCCTTGTAACTCATAATCATGATGTAATTGTTTTCATATGGTTTTTAGAGGTTTTTTCCTTTAAAAATCTTTCTTTGCTGGAGTGGAGTAAGTCACATATTTGCCATTATACTGTTTGGGGGGGCTATGGTTCTTACAGTACATGTCTTTTGTAACTAGTAAAAGACCTCCTAAGTCTCCATCTCTAAAAGCAGTGCAGCCTCTGAAGCTTTCCAGATTTCTTAATTGTGTAATAAGATGAACTGAAATACATTTTCTTTAGTACTGCCTGAGTTTGGATTAACTTTTTTCCTGGTATTTAAAAATGCTGAGGAGGGGGAGACGAACCATGAGAGATGATGGACTCTGAGAAACAAACTGAGGGTTCTAGAGGGGAGGGCGGTGGGGGGATGGGTTAGCCTGGTGATGGGTATTGAGGAGGGCACGTTCTGCATGGAGCACTGGGTGTTATGAACAAACAATGAATCATGGACCACTGCACCAAAAACTAATGATGTAATATATGGTGATTAACATAACAATAAAAAATTTTAAAAAAAATGCTGAGGAATTTAACTTATGAAACATTGTCCTAGGGATGAACAATATCAGCTCAATAGCTAGTCAGCCTGGGGAAGCAGAGCAGAGTTATAATGGTGGTGCAATACTGGAGACCGGAATCCAGTCCAGAAGAGAAGGTGGTCTGGGGTAAGAGTAGACAAACAATAGGGGAGTCGTGGGAGTGAGGCATAGAAGTGTCCTAGGAGTATAAATACATACTTCAGTAATTAAGATAACTGTTGCCTTTATTAACATATAACGGAGACTGTTGGAAATTGTTTTAAGTGATGACAGTGCGTAGGGTAAAAATTACAAACTAATCCCTGAGAGAGATTATTGTCATAATGCAGTTTCAAGTGTTTGTTATTTTTGTTTGCATCAGAATAATATCTTACATTTATATAATGCCTTAATTTTAACAAAGCATTTCTTAACTTTAAAACAATGTGATGTTTACATCAACCTGCAAAGCTAGGGCAAATATTCCCATTTTATATTTTATTCATCAGATTTTTTTCTTACTATAAATGTGTAAATGTGTATTCATTTGGTAATATGTAAAAAGAGCCTTAACAAGGTTGATCTGGGAATGTCACTTACCGGAAACTCTCTTAAGAAAGTAAATCAGAAATCAGGTGGAATGTTATGCCCAATGGTATTGACATCCACATTCTATATAACAACGAAAATGGAATTAACATCGATGACCTACAGGAGTGAAGTGGTTGAGTAAATTGTGCTATTTCCATAGGATAGAATGTTCTGTACTATTCCTTAAGAGTTTTGAATCAAATGAACAGTTGTTTTATGTAACAGGATCATGTGGGAGGTTTTTTTGGTATCCTCTGTTTCTCAAATTTCCTACAAAGAAACAAGTTACTTTCAAAATCTTGGGAAGCAATAAACATACTTGGAAAAACTAAAATAGTCACAATTGGCAGAAGACATTAATTGCTCACCTCTCCAGTGTGAGTTCGCTTCTGCCCTTCTTCCCAGCAGAGCACCAAGTTTGTTTACTCCAGAGAGAGTCCTTCTGGCAACTGCTATGTTGAAACCGCGGACCGACTTGAGGACACCGAGTGGAGATATCCAAAGAATCAGGGCCTCGATGATGGTGTTGAACCACTGCCCGACTTGTGTCTGAGCCCCGGCCTGCTCTGGACTTGCCCAGTTGTGTGAGATGAGAACATGCCTTGTGTCACAGCAAGCTAGGTTTTCTGTTAACCTGCAGCCACAAGGATCCTAACTGATAGAGTATTCATTACAGTAGCGGGGAATACCACTTAAAATTTCAGAACCCAGATGTCAGCGATGCTAACATTTCCTGTTTTGGGGTGAGTGTTTTATGCATGTTACAGATACCAGTATTCCCTTAATATTACGGTGTTTTTTCCATGCTATTTTTTTTCACTTCATTAACATCATTATAATTACTATAATATTTGGTACACTTTAGCAAAATTAATATGGCTAAGTATTTCTAATTTGTGGATGTTTTCTATTGCTTTCCAAAGTTTCATTGTTAACATACAGCATGACAGCTAACATTTTCTTTCTTAATACTCTGTGGTATTTTGAAGTCTTCTCTATGCTAAGTAGCCAGAAGTAGAATGCCAGATTTGGGTATTTCTTTTTTTTTTTTTAAGTTTTTTTTTTTTGAGATTTTATTTATTTATTTGAGAGAGAGAATGAGAGATAGAGAGCACGAGAGGGAAGAGGGTCAGAGGGAGAAGCAGACTCCCCACTGAGCAGGGAGCCCGATGTGGGACTCGATCCCGGGACTCCAGGATCATGACCTGAGCCGAAGACAGTCGCTTAACCAACTGAGCCACCCAGGCGCCCCAGATTTGGGTATTCCTAATCCTCTGGACCATTTGCCAGTCTCCTTCCTAAAGGAAGGTACCAATTTATACTCCCACCAGTAATATATCCAAGTACACACTTCACTGCACCCTCTCTGACAGCAATTTTTAAATCGTTTTGATACATGGAACAGTTTCCCATGTATTAGTTATGTTGAGCATGGGTGAGGGCTTTCCTCATAGAGTAGTCCTGCTGTTGCTGGTAATCGCTTGTTTACCGACTCCGCACAATGTGAGAGGCTTTCTCTGAAACCCTTCATGTAGATTTTCATATTTAATATTCCCAACTCTGTGGCTTATTACTATTATTCTCGTTTTCTGTATGAGAAAAATGAGTCACAGTAATTCTGTAACTTTCCCAGCTTACCCAGCTGGTAAGTGTGAAGATGTGTGCCAGTTTTCACTGGGTTCTGCTGCAAGTCACAGAGAGTCCCGACTTGGTGGTTTCTTTTCTCTCTCAAGCCCAGCAAGGTCAGCTCAGAGCTGCCGCAGAGGCAGCACGGTGCCGTCGTCCCCTCCGGCCACTCATCCTTTGTGCGCCCCCTCCTTAGTGCAGCTTTTGTCCTCACGGCTGCTGGGGGCTGATGTGCTTCGAGGCCTTGAGTTTACCTTCCGTTCAGAAACAAAAGATGAAAATGAAAACCCAATACAAGACTTCTAAATTAAACTGAATGGAATAATGTCACAAGGACCCCAATAGTGGGCTGATAATATTCAGGTTTTGTTCTCATTAATAGAAAAAAGGAATAAAAGACATGGACTTGGGTGTTAGTGGGTCAGTGTCTTTTTCTCATACAGATCATCCCTTTAACTAGGCTGCATCAGTATGCACCCTTCACATTACTGGTTCTACATGTGACATGCTCATTCCCTTTCCCAGGTAGTACGGCCTCGAGCTCTCATCCAGTTACTGCAACCAGGTTGAAGTTCACACTCATGGGTGATGTATAGAAGCTTACGTGAGGTCCAGGGCCCCTGGGGTCTAGACAGTTCATTTGCCTCTAACCTTCGCAATATAAAATGGGTGAGAAGGAAGTGGGTAATTAAAAATATCCATTCAGAAAAGAGAGGAAAGAGAAATATCTCAGTCACCCATTCAGGTGGACAAGATACAGTGAGATCTTCCCACCATCAAACTGGTTTAAATTCTTAGATTTGATTCTGGTTCTAACCTGTGGTTATCCTCCTTATGCATTATATTCCACTTTCTGATTTCAGTTCACTCTCTACTAAAAGTCAGGGACCCATGACACTCAGGCTGACACTGGTCAGATTTCAGTATCCAAGGGGCCATTGTGTTGAGTTCTTTTGGGTTTGTGTCATCATGGTCAAGTGTGTTGACAAGATGCAGGGGTGCCTCAAGGGCTCAGCTTGTCCCCACTCTGCTCCGCCTGTGTCTCGCCCTGGGATGGCTGGCTCTGCTAGCCACCAGGGACCTCAGGCATGCCGCCCACTGATCGGTGTACACAGGAGGCGCTTCCCCAGACGTCTCGCTTTCCACAGATCTGTCTTCTTGAAGATGTAGAGACAAGATGGATTCAGTTGTTGGTGTGGTTCACAGCTTTCAGTGGCAGAATATCATTTAAATTAACACTTATTATACCCCGGGTCAAGTGCCTGTGGAAGACAAGGCTTTGGCCTCCAAGCAGCAGGTGAAATAATACATTTTAACGAAGACAATGAAGTGTTGAGGACCGGGTGAAAGAAAATGGTGAGTTGAGGGCTTTGGAGAACCAGAAAGCCTCTATGACTGTCATGAAAGTAGCTCTTTTCTCCTGTGGCCATACAGATTTCTGATAAGTTCTAATCAGACAGTGGGCTGATTTACCAAGCAACTTGAATCACAACCTAATGATATTTCTCATGCTAGAGATAAGACATGGATTGGGAAAGAGAAAGACCATCAAAATTGAGATGAGGGCCTAGGGAAGATGCCAGTGAAGCCGGGCACATTAAACCCAACACTGGACTAGGCTGCTTTTGCCAGTAGAATCAGCCCTCCCACCCCTGAGGAGGTTAGTCTTCCCATTGTCTGAAGAACCTATTGTCTCTCCTAAAATAGTTGTCTCACCTCCTTCCCAAAGCCATCATGATTTTTCATTGCTTCTCAACCTATACTTAAATTTGAATCCTGGCAGTGCCCAGTGAATAGCCAGTTTGTATCAGAAGATATCTGAGATATACATGCTGTGTCAGACACAGCCTTTGGGGACCCTGTCCCCAGTGAGTTGTATCTTGTGGAATTCTGTCTGGAGTGAGGGAAGCACCTGACTTGATTTCAGACAACAGAAGACGTCAAAGGTGCGATGGTCCCTTGTATGATCCCCTTACGTTATATAAGACTTTGTATTAGCAGCCTGGAGCAAGAGAGTCTCCGGCCGGTACCGGAGAAATGAGCTGCCATGTTGTGACAGGACCTGTAAGAGGACCAAGAGGCAAGTACCTCTGGGGAGCTCTGCACATGGAGAGCAGCCCCTGCTGTCAGCTAACACACATGAGGGCCTCAGTTTTACAAGTGCAGGGAACTGAGCTCTGCCAACAGCCACATGAGCTTAGAAGAGGTGTCCCTACTCAGAGCAGAACCCAGCCCAGCTAACACCTTGACGAAAGCGATGTCCTGCACAGAGGACCCAGCTAAGCCACGCTCAGACTCCTCACCTGCAGAAAACTGAGAGAATGAATGGGTGTTGTTTCAGGTCACAACATTTGTGGTAATTTGTTACACAGCAATAGAAAACTTGAACTGATTCATATGGGAGTAGATCCCAGGGATACTCGGAATGGAAGGAAAGTAATGTTGGACTGGACTGAATTAACTGAAATGGATAGCATTATCAGTGGTCCGGATTCAGTGTATTAGCTTGAGCAGCTAAGAACAGCACTAACAGAGTTTG